AATGAGTTTCTTCCATTTGAAATCTTTGGTAATTTAATTTTTTCTCTTATATTCAATATGTTCAATTTTTGACTCCTTCTTCTTTGCCATTAGTCACCCCAAGGATCGGACCTCAAAGCTGCTTCACTTTCTTCCCTCATCGAGGAATTCACATTTCATCATTATTGAGTTGTTGCCTAAATGACTTCTGGGGCTACAGAACTGCCCCCAGATCAATGTCAATCTTCCTTCCCTCAGGTCTGATGGATATACACACATGTGGGCATCTTGCCTCAGTTCTTTATGTTCCTCTGTTGTCAAGATAAGTTCTATCATAGCACAAAGCTCTGCCACACTACAGTCCTAACCAAAACAACCTTCTGCCTTTTGGTTTTCCGTCACATAGAAGAATAAAGGTGGGGTGGGGAAGAGTTGAGTTCTATTGCAAGCCTATGACTTGACTTGGGCAGCCCTGCAGGAACATGATGGTTGGTGGGGAAAGAGGAACTAAGTGAACACATTAAGGGTTAGGGATTAGCTTTCCCTGCTGTTAATTCATTTGGTTGATACCTTTTTAGAGTTCTTGGTGTCTTAGATTGTGGAGACAGTTGAAATGTATTTGCCTCTTGTGTATAATTCCTATTTTGGAGAAGTTTGAGAGATCATGAAGATTGAAAAAGGTATCTAATCCTCCACTGTGTTGGTCACATCACATAGTAAATTCTTATAAATGCTTATTGACTGACAATTATTGAAAAAGTGCAGAGAATACAAGTTTCCATTGAACATATCTTTTGTTGACTATTAAAAAAAACAACTTGTGATTCAGCAGAAAATTTCATCCTAAAGGCTTTTCTCCAACTAAGCATCTCCCAAACATATAACAAAATCTTGCAAGATTGGAGGTCCTAGTTACAAGAGCAGAACTGTGAGACAAGTGACCTGAGGTTATCTGAGTAAAACTTATAGCTAAGGGGAATATTAAATCTGACTTGATTAAGTCTTAACAAAATAGAATTAAAAATCAATTTTCCATTTCACAACAGCTTGTAAGTGTCTGAGATTGGATTTGAACTCAAGTCTTCCTGGCTCCGGGTCCAGGAGAACAAAGAAAATAATGATGGTTCAGGAAGGGAAGCAGGGAGAGAGTCAGGAGAAGCTTCATGTAGAAGGTGGTAACTTGAGCTGTGCCTTGAAAGAAGAGAGGGATTTTCTAAAGTGGAGGTGAAGAAGGAGTATATTCGAAGTGTGAGAGATGGCTAAGGCAAAGATATGGAGACAAGAGAAGGAGTACAGTATGTATGTGAGGAATAGAGAGAAGGTAAGTTTGGCTGGATCTCAGTGCAGGATGGGAAGAAATGTAGAATAAGGCAGGGAAGAGATCGGGGACAGTGAATAGCTTTAAAAGGTACTTGTATGCATGTTGTCTCTCATAGAGTGTAAGCTCTTTGAGGGTAGGGATTATCTAACTTATTTTTTCTTTGTGTCTCTGGTACATAGCAGACAATTCATTGAAATGTTTCTTGATTGCTATTGCATTATACAGACAATTCATATACCATGTTTCTGCAGGTGACATATATTTGATTACTACACACAACTCTTTCATACGTTCTGTGTGTCATTTATTACATGAGGCTCATATTTTTGGCTTTATATGTGCAACATTGTCATTTATGCTATGATTGTGTACAGTGAATTATAATTTTTTGTGTACTATGGTTAGCTCCATGAAATGCTAATGTAAAAGATGTAGATTAATGCATGTCTGTGACTTCATTATTTTAACATATGCTAAGATTCAATAATTATATTGAATATGTTTTCCATAAATTTCTTTAATTATTTCATATGCTAAGTTTTTTATGGTGTGCTACATATACATAGATATCTTGGTGGATTCCAGTATGATTTTCAGAGATTTCAAATTCTTCTGTAGGGGAGGATATAAGGTATAGCACAGTGCCTGACATCCAGTTAACTGTTTAATAAATACTTGACTTGATTTGATATGTTTTTCCATCATTATGGCAAGAATCTTTCTAATTCTTAATCCAGAGGGATAGCAATATGAATTTGTAAAACATCTGAGTTGCAGAATGTTTCTTTTTTTAAAGAAACTATATGTCTATATGTATTACGTGTGTGTGTGTGTGTGTGTGTGTGTGTTTCTCTATTTATATACTATATGTCACCCACTGCATCCCAGGCCATTGCCAGTTGTCTTGACTTTTGTCTTGCCACTGGACTTTGATGGCCTTGGAAGCGAGAGTGAAGCTAACAACTCTGTGCAATTCTGCTTCATTTAAATCCAATTCACACACAAGTCAAGACATCACCCTGTGACATCATTAGTCCTTTCTTCAAAAATGAAAGATGAACAACAAGATTTCTTGAAAGACGCAACATAGACCATTTTGTTCAATGACCCTCTGATTAGTGATCAAGTGAGTTATTAGAGATATGTGTTAACCAAAGATCTATGCCACTGTCATGGAAAATATCCAGCACAGAGTCCAAATAGAAGATGGATTCCCTATAATGTAAGGTCTTCCAGATGCTCCTATTGTACATAACATCATGCTAATTACACAAACCCCAGCAACATTGCAGAACTTCCTAAATGAGATGCATATTCATTTAAAAGCATCTGGCCTAACTATCCATATGGGAAAAATAATGTGGTTGAAGAACTATGGGTACCTAGGTGGTGGAGTAAGGAAAATCTGAGTTCAAATCTGGCCACTGACACTTACTACTTGTGTGATCCTGGGCAAGTCACTTAACCCTGTATGCCTCAGTTTCCTCATCTGTAAGAGGAGCTGGAAGGAAATGGCAAAGCACTCCAATAAAACCCCAAATGGGGTCATGAGGAGTTGGACATGACTGAAAAAAATGACTGACTGAAAATGTGTGAGATGCTGTCCTTGGCCCTGCTAGTTTAAAGACAAAATAAAATGCTGCCTACTTACTGGAAACATCCTACTTATGGATAACATAATTTGTCTTCTTGCTTTATTTTTTTTTTTGAGGCAATGTGTTGCAGTGGTTAGTGAATGGAGTTCTGGACTTGGAATCAGAAACTCAGGTTCATATGCCACCTCTGACACTTAACTGAGAGCGTGATCCTGCGATCCTAAGCCTGTCAGGTAACTATTTTGAGTCTTGGTTTTTTTATCTGTAAAATGGAGATAATTATAAATGTCATGCCTACCTCACAGTGTTCTTGTGAGGCTCAAATAAGATAATGTATATAAAATGCTTTGCAAACCTTGAAGAGTTATATTAATGTCAGCCATTATTATCAATATTACTTTGTTTCATGGTTGAACATCTAATCATAACCAGAAAGAAATGAACTGTAATGAGAGGAAATAGATTCAAAAGTAATACCTTTACAAAACTTAAAACAGTTTTCAAAATGTCATTAAAAAAATAACAAAAGTCCATCTCCATTTGCAAAATTCTTCCTTTTGTCCCAAATCCTGAGTGTCCACTGAAACTCTAAAGAAGCCTATTGATGTCATTTTTAAAACTCTGCTCCAAACAAACATATAAACTGCTTGGGGCATTAGTTTTACAGAGAGAAATACATGCAGTCCTGTGTCCCCACCAATGGGGAAGGAATTAAAAGGGCATTCTCTGGCACTCAAGGATGCCATCTAAGGTTGGTAATGTCTAAGTAGACATACATGTGGTAAGAGGAGGTAGGGGGTTGGGCTCTTCCTTTCATCCATCTCTCATCACTCTGATGAGTGTAATTTATTAAATCAGGGCCCCAGTATTCAGCATCTAGTGGTAAAAGGGATATACCGAGCAACACCTGCTGCATGTACTGACCAAAGAAGCATGGAATTCTGGGAAAACGGAGCAGATATAAAGTCTCTGAGCTCCTGAGCTTTGAATGAAGTTTCTCTTTACATACGAACAGCCTCAAGGGTACTTCTTGCTCTGCTTGGTGACCTCTTGCCACTAAAACACCTGTCTAGTGGAAAACAGTAATCAAATTCACTGGGTACCATCCAGTCCCACTTTCTATTCCATTTCAGTCAACTTTTAACTCTCCCCTTTACCAAAGTGATCAAATTTCAATTACCAACAAAAATTCCAAAACATCTCAAGCTGAGTAAACCTAACATCTCCTCCTGTCAATTATACTTGTTGTGAGATTGTTAATGATGAAAAATATTAGAGAATTTCTTCATCTTAGTTGATTCAAACTGGAATAGGTCCAGCACCAAAACTCCATTTGCTTCTTAGGAAACTAAGACCCTTCTCTGGCAATAACAGCAAAATTATCTTGAAATTTGAGTCTTTTCCCCTTCTCGCTAGCTATTCTCCTACAACTTGCTGTTTTCCACCCCTCTGGGTACCCAGCATTCTCAGGTTCTCCTCCCTCCTTACCTTTGACTCCTCTCTCTTTACCAGAAAAAACTCCTAAAACTTACACAATAAGGTAGAAATAACTGAGATTCAAGATATTTGAACTACCCCTACCAGAGTTATTTGCACTTTAACAAAAACAAAGCCTGAAATTGGAAGGATGATGTTCTAAGTAACCTTTAGGGAATCAGCCAAGGGGATAGGGGAGATATAATTAGTTGGTGGTCCTTCTTCAGGACATGTCTGCAAAGCAGCCAGTAAGGGCTCCCATGATAACAGTATTTGGACAAATGAAAAGGTGAGATTATGAGTGAGTGAGGTGAAGTTTTTTTTTTTTTTCTGAAGGACTTCAAATTCATTCAATTTATCTGAGCAGGTAAAAACACTCCAGAACTTTCTTTCTCCTGCCCTCACTCCCACATTTCCCTCTCCTTTCTCCTATCCTTTTAAAATTGAAGTGGAATAGGGTCCAGACCATTCCAATTCATCCTCTACCTCACACCAAGGTCTGCTTAGGGGATGAAGGAATACTATAAGGAAAACACATAGAATTTTACAGGATGCATAACGGAACCCACATTTATAATGTATCATTAATCCCAATGCATCAACTTCCATGAGCACACATTTTAACTCACTGATATGGAGCCATAGGAACGTCCAGGTGATTACTGCTAGGATGACTAAAAATGCTGTGAAAAGAATGATTTTATTCTGGATGTTCCAAAAGGGGGTTTTCTTGGCTTTCTTCTTGGATTTGACTTTTCCAATAGGTTTTCTGTGTGGCTTTCTGGGTGGTTTCCTGACTGGTAGCTTCTCTGGTCGGGTTACCATTTGGACAGAGATATTAGATACCTTAAAGAATGGGAAAAAAATATAGACAGAGAGACACATATAAGCAATTATGCATCAGGCACAGCTGGAATAATAAAAGGACATACCTATGCAAGGAAATTTTGGCACAAAATTTCCAAAGTAAAGGGCCAAAAGGTGAAAATTCATAGCCTATTTATTTTCTTTAGGTAAGTGATCCTAGAATCATATATAGAGCTGAAAATTGTCTTCAAAGACAAGTTAGTCCAACCTGACAATTTTATACATGAGGAAACTGAGGTACAGAGAGGTGAAGTCTTTTGCTCAATATCACCTAGGTAGTAGGTAAGAGAGCTGGTTTATGAACCCAGGCTCTCTAACTTCTGATCTAGGGCTCTTCACATGGTGCCAGTTGATATTTGGTCTGTCCATGGATGCATAACCATGTCTCAGTCCAGAAAATTAACAGCAACAAAAAGTTCAAATCTTATTCTTCAGTGGAATGGGTAATTTTTATTCCTAGTTATGACAGAATTCTTTGCTATTAGAAAAAAATAATTTACAGATGATGTTTTGTTTTGGGGAGAAGACACATGCATCCTGCTTACAAAGCTATTACTATGTTCTTTTGAGTGATTGCATTGCCTTGGTTTACCAATCAATAAAATGGGGATGACAAATACAGAACTGACAGAGATTACCTTGACAAAAACCACTAAGTAAAATAAAAATATTCTGTTTGAGAGCAAAAAAATTGCAAATTATCACTTAATGTTGCCCTTCATCTCAGCTTTCTTTCCTCTTCCTTTCCTATTTGACAATGTGAGAATTATAGAATAATGTATAGAAAGGACTTTGAGCTCCTTGAACAAAGAGATTTATATACATCAGTATAAATAAAGATGAGATAATTTCTAACTGCAACATTTTTAATGATAAAGGAGTGAAACGCAACAGCCTAGAACAAAGGTTAAACCTAACCAGAATAAGGATTCTAAAGAAATAATGTATTTTGTCCTACTAATAAGCCCAGTTCTTATAATATATATTCATACCAATTAATGGGCTAATTTGCAGCTCAGTATGCTCTAAATTATTCATTGGTTTCTCATTCTTCCTGCCAAACAACCTTGTCCAGTGGAATGTGGACTATAGTCATCCAGCTGAAATTTAACAACGGTAGACTTAATCTAATGCTGTGCCTTCGAGGAGGTGAAGATAGTGTTTCTAAAGAGAAAAATAGCCACTGTAGGATATGGAGTGGGCAAGTAAAAATAAAAATTCCCTTCCAAACATCTTCTAAATGATCCAGAGAAGGAATTTTCCCAAAATACATATTTATAATGCTTTCAACATGTAGGCTGAGTTTTACTGTCGATTTTCAGTGGAATCATGTCAAAGACAGGCTTTGCCCCCATCAGTTTGCCCTGGCATTTATTAAATGCAGTTTGCTTAAAGATCAGCACACATTCAGTGACATTTTCAACACACAGCTGTTGAACAAATTGCCACTGACAAAGCTTTGGCACAAGCTTATAGCTATTCAGAAGGGTGGTGCAGCCCTCACTGATGAACAGAGAGCAACAGACCCTAAGCAGCTAAAAGAGCAAGGTTTGCAAATACTACTTACATTCAAGTCAGCAGATTTGGCTGAATCATCACTGTTGGGTTTCTCCATTTTAGGGGAACTCTTCTTGAGTTTGCAGGTACAGTTGCTCTAAAGTCAAATTTGCCCCTAACTCTTGTGCAATGTCCCCAGACTCCTGTCCTTGGGAGAATTAGCAACAGCATTCAGGAGATCACTCAGGGCAGGGCATCAATTTACATCCAGCAGTTTCCAGTTCTGTAATTGCATCTGTCTCACTGTTCCACAGAGGGTGTTAAAGGGACGTGGCAAATTGAGTCCCAAACTGAAGTTGGGTAGGCAGGTTTCCATATATGAGCTGGTGTTTATGTTGATTGCTCCCTTTTGGAAGCGGAGGCATAGTGCCATCAGCTTGGTGGGGGGAAAGAACATAACGTTATTTGGGTACTGTGCATGAGAAAACAAGCATGAAATTGACAAATTGAGTCCCTGAACTCTTTGCATTTAATTTAGCTTTAGAGCTGCATCAACCAATTATGCTATTTTTTAAAAGTATACATTATGAGTTTAGGTATGGTGCAATAAATTTAACGAGATTTCCAACATTGCTCTAAACTTTAAAATCAGAGTTAGAAAATGTAAAAAAGAAATAACTTTTCCTACCCCCTCATTCATACAGAATACCTTGTAATAAGAGCCCTCTTTGGAAGACTGAGAGGCAGCATGGGTTAGTAGATAGAAAACTGATCTTGAGCCAAGAAGATCTGGGTTCAAGTTCCTCCACTGACAATACTGGCTGTATGACCCTGGGCAAGTTAACTTAACCCCTCAGCAGGAAGTTTAATGAACACCATAGTTTCAATCTCTCCTTCCCTTAACAGACTCAGACAGAGACTGGATCCTATGGTCCAGTACAAGAACCATCCATAATCCACCTCTAATCTCTCATTCAGATCTTGATTCCCTTTCTTTCCATTATAACCACATTGATCTAATACTATACTTACTATGTCCATAGTATGCACATGATTAATATTTGTTTTATGATTTGATTAATTAATCTGTTGTGATGGAGGGGTGGAGATTCTCAACGTAATAAAAGGCAATGGTTTTAAGTACTTTATCCATAGACTAAGAAATAATTATTTGACTTTGGTTACATTTTATTAAGGCTGCTAGATCCCAGAGGACAATAAAAGCCAACATTCAAAAGTCAAGTTGAAAAAATCAAGAGACAAAATAGAAATGATGATGAAAAGATGAGAACAATGACTATAGAATAGATGAGGTGAGAGAAATTAGTCAAGATTAACCCAGTATTGTGAACCTAGAAGAAAAAGAGGAGAAAAAGGAAGAGTAAAAGAGAGAGGAATAAAAAATCTTTAAATATAACCATATCCTTTCATACTTCTTTTACAGCTTAAATTGGCCTGTGGGAGCCTTTAATTTCTTGGCAGCCAGAAACATACTTTACACTGGGGAGGTACAACTCATAGGCTTCTGTCTGTCTTCCAAGCCAAACCCCTTCATGTTCCGTTATCCAAGTCTCTTAGCTCTATGACTTCCTCATATTAGTAAGACACATGGTGTGTATAAGAAAGAAGACTGAACTTGGAGTTAAAAGGCCTAGTTGCAAGCAAATCTAAGCACTGTGGTTTACTGGTTGTCAGACAATGGGCAAGTCACTCTACCATTGTGAACCTGTTTCCTTATCTGTAAAATGGAGATGATTATAATTATACCATCTATTTTGAAAGATTCTAATGAGGATTTGTAACCTTTAAAGTGCTGTACAAATATGAATTTTTACTATATTGTTGAGCTAAATCCTATTAACTTGGGTTGCTTTCTTCTCAAGGCACTATATTTATCTATATGTGTGTGTGTGTGTGTGTGTATATATATATATGTATATATACACATACGTATATGAATGTATATGTGTGTTGTGGAGATTATACTTGCCCACTCTGCAAGAAAAACCACTGAGGCAGAGCTCTGAGCCAATGACACTTTATTAAAGGGTCCATGGTCTCCTCTAATGAAGAGGACCTCAGATCTTCCTCATGATCTGAGATGCCCACTTCCTCCAGGGCCTTAGTTTTATAGTGCTTGATACCTGGACAATACAGGTGAAGCAGACCAAAAATATAGAATCTCATTGGTTGATAGACCTTGCCCTTGGTCCTCTAGGAGGGTCTACACAAAATACAGGATCTCATTGGTTGACAAACGGGCTAATGAGCACACCTTAATAGACCTATCTTGACCTTTCTGGAAGTCCTACCAAGTTGATGAGCAAACTCTTGGGTTGAACTGATAAGCATATGTCAAAACATCTACATGGGCCAATAGGCCAGTAGAAGGGCAGGCTGTAGTCCAGCAACAAGGATAGCTCATTGGCCAAATGCTCATAGTCATCTCCCCATGTTGGGCAATAGAGGGATGACAAGGGACAGAGGGTCAACAAAAATAACTGGGGGGCTCTCCATGTATTTGAGTCACCTCTGTCACACTGGGCTTGGTCACCATAACAAGAAAAACAAGGGTGGAAGTCCTCTAGTTAGCTTCCTATGATTAAGCAAGTGAATTTATAATCTACACCTCACAGCTCTGAGGCCTGCTATGAGAACTTATAATCACCACCCCTATTGAATCATATCAAACTGATTAATACTGATTGGAATAAAATAGGGGTCCAATTAATCATCTATCACATTATGTATGTATGTATATACTATATATATGTCATTTATATTTTTATGAACATATTCTTAATTATAAAATAGCATCATTCATTGGTTTGACTCATTTTGTCCTGCATAATCAGAAAATTTTGGTGCTGAAAGATGCCTTAGACACCCAATATATCTAAACTTCCTTTTACAGATAATGTTATTGTTTTTTCTTTGTTCTTGAAGAGGACAAATAACATCATGAGGATGATGCCTTGACTTGCCCCTGAATTTAATTTAAATTAGGCAGAGCAGGCAAAGTCATCAGTCTCTCTCCTCCCAAATCATTCAAGTCCAGTGGCAAGATGAAAGTCAAGATGACTGGTGATAGCCTGGGATGCAGTGGGTGACCTTGGCCTTTCCAAATTAAGGTCTTTCCCTGGTCTCAGTTTGATTGAGGCAAAGCCCATTCAATGACTAAGGACTAGGTAAGAATTGAGAGAACAGATGGCCTAATTTACTATCACAAAATTAACAATCTGGGAGGGGAAGACCCTCAAAGTTTATGGCAAGAATAGAAAACAATTGCTATTTATATTCTGATATTTATATTTTGATAGTTCTAAACTATCAAAACTAAACAATGAGCCACAGAGGTTTGGGCTGGAGGCTATTATTGGCCCTTCAATGAAAGCCGGAGTGATTTGGGTTTAAAGACACAGTCAAGTAGCTCCATTTGAAACACAATGGGTCTGTTTTTTCAGAGCTATATTTCAAGAAATCATAAATAAAAACTGCAAGAGACAGAAAGTAAATTGTCCCAGCTTTTTTGGGGAAAAATAATAAATGAGTGAATGAATAAAAAAGAAAAAAAGCTGAAACTTTTATAAAGACATATTTACTTCAGAAGGCATAATCACAAATATACAAATTAACTCCTCCCAATAAATAGGAGGCATAATTATCTTCCCCCTGCTCTACCTCAATTTCTGGGGAGGAAGAGGGTATTAATTTCAAAGCTTTAACTAAGTTCCCTTAGAGCACAATCCCAGTTCTCCTCCCTCCCCACCCTGCCTTTTATGTGCTTGAGTCCCAAGCACTCTGGTTTCTTGCAATTTCCATGATGGCCTGGCTGGCTGTGATGGGGTTGGGATCTGGACCCCAGAAAGGAAAAACCCTGGACTTTCCAACACCGCCAAATCTCTGGTGTTTGCCTGAGGCTATAATCCCATTAACTGGCCTTTCATTGTGGTTACACCCAATCTCCCCTCCATTGTTTTACCTCCCTATGGCCCTTGGTCATTTCCCACACTTAATCCTAGCTAGGCCATGAGGTCCAGGTACCAGGAGTTCTGTTCACCCCAACTTATTGGCCACTCCTAGGTCCCTCCCACAGTCTTTCTGTATATAAGGTCCACCTTGTCTCTATTAAGATGCTTAGATTCTTAAAATCTAGCCAATAGCTTACTAATGTTCAGACTCCTTAAGAGTCTGCCTAATATGATGGATGTTCTAACGAATCTTGTCTTTGTCTGAAAGAAGGCTTGGGTCAAATTCTTTTGGGCAGGATCCATGTGTTGTGATTTTGGGGTCCCAACACCCCTGAACCCCTAAACTGCATCAGCTGAACCACGTTACCTGTAATCCTTGCTCCAAGGTCACCAAGCTCAAACTTCCGCTCCTGTGGGGATTATTTCCAGCACCTGAAACCTAGGACAAACAACACAGACCAGAAACAACATAGACCCATTTTTTGAGGTAAAAGAGGGAGAACAAGGGACAGGCAAGTTCCTTCATCCTCTTATTAGTTGAATTCATGGCATCCACCCTGGACACAGAAACTAAGAGCATAGCTGAAAAGATGGAAAGAGTGAGGATATCTCAGGTCCACACTCTTTTTAAAGATGTTGACAACAATCAGGGAAGTTACTCCTCCCATGTGGTAGGAGATGAATTGGATTCCATGTTAAGCAAACTGAGCATGCTCAAAGCCAGGTTACAAATAAAAAGGGAGGCTCAGAGAAGTGAAGGAATATTCATCTCCAGGATTTTGCTCTCTGGACTTCTCCATCATTCTCCAGAGACCTCTTCATCATGGAATATCAGTTCAGTCCTGGAATTGGAAACTCAGAAGTACTTTCCTTCCCGGGGCCTCTCCCTTTGATTGGATAGCTCCCTCTCCTAGGCTAACCACTTGTTAGTTTTCTCTAGGCTGGATTCTCGACTTTCTTTACCACGTCCCCACTCTGGGTACCTACTTTAGCTTTCCCTTTTATGTGGTGTCTTCCTCCATTAGAATGGAAGCTTCTAGAGAGTGCTTCCTCTCTTTTTGTTTGCATTTGTATTCCCAGCACTTAGCACCACATCTGGCATATATAAAGCATTTAATAAATGTTTTTTGATTGACTAACCATCACA